TATGTCTTACATAAAGGATTGGAGTTAAATCGTATGTTAAATTTGGAGGAAGCGTATGTTAAATTTGGAGAAATTATGTCTTACATAAAGGATTGGAGTTAAATCGTATGTTAAATTTGGAGGAAGCGTATGTTAAATTTGGAGAAATTATGTCTTACATAAAGGATTGGAGTTAAATCGTATGTTAAATTTGGAGGAAGCGTATGTTAAATTTGGAGAAATTATGTCTTACATAAAGGATTGGAGTTAAATCGTATGTTAAATTTGGAGGAAGCGTATGTTAAATTTGGAGAAATTATGTCTTACATAAAGGATTGGAGTTAAAGCGTATGTTAAATTTTAATAATAAGAAACGTAAAACAATTAAAAAGCAGCTTTGTTGCTTAACTTTTAGCAACTAAACATTTATCAATCACTCAGAATACGTAGGGCTGTGTACATGTTCAAATCTCCTATTTCCCCATTTTTTCAAAAGCTTAAGACATTGCAAGGTATAGCAAATGTGTTAACTTTTTAAGCATTTAACATAAGACAACCACGGACCTGCAAATAATTTTATTGAGCTATTTTTTTGGGGGAAGAGGAAGCTGACATCGGAAATATATAAAAACCTCATGTAAAAAACAATTCAAAAGTGAAGATCGGGAGTTAATTACAGACTTCAAACGAAGCGAGGAGAAAAAGTCGGCATCGAAGCGTTTAAACAATATCAGGAAATAAAAGGCATGTTGCAACTTGCCAGCTTTTTAATATGGATATTCCCACGAGATTATATAAAAAAGAAAAAAATTGGACTGGAGAGAGAGGAAGCGGTTTCGTAACTCCCCGAGATTCTGATACTCGAGAAATAAGATTTTAAAAATGAAACCTTAAGGCCGGAAACCAAGTGGTTCCTTTAAAAAGCGCCGGGATGGCCAGGAAACGAAATTAAAAGTCTGGCAAAATACTGCAAGAGGAAAAGGCTAATTTGTTCAGCCGAGGTCTCCAGAGCTCCAGACAGAACGCGGTGTCACTTTAGCACGAGGAAATAAGTCGTCCAGCCAGCCAGCAACAGCGCTCCGAACAAGACGGTGTAACTGAACAGCACGAAAGCCAGGAGTTCCTTCAGGACCTTCAGGAAATGGAGAGTGAAGGATTCCTGCCCCATCCTGGATTTCAAAGGTGGTGGGGAAAACGGCATGAGAACAGCTTGGATCTGGGAGAGGGAAAGAAGGAAGGAAGGAGGGGAAGAAGAGAAGGACAGAATGAAAGAGGCCACCCGAATGGAAGCTGCTTCGTGATCTACAACAGGGATTTAAAGCAGAGGATCGTAGGCAGAACTATACGGCCTAGTTCTGTCTTGGATCCTCGACGTTAAGACCACAACGGAGCCCAGCATTTCTGTCGTTAAGCGAGACGTTCGCCAAGTGAGCTTTGCCCCATGTTACGACCTTCCCTGCCACATTTATAGCAGTTAGCAATAGCAGTTAGACTTATATACCGCTTCATAGGGCTTTCAGCCCTCTCTAAGCGGTTTACAGAGTCAACATATTGCCCCCACAGTCTGGGTCCTCATTTTACCAGCCTGATAGGATTCCAGGTCAGTCAGCAGCTCCAGAGCCTCAAGATATATAGCTAATATATCCATTATTCCCAACCAAACCCAGTCATCAAAGCAGTCAATTCTTCCAGAGGGAACCTACTTTAATATTTAATGTTATAATTGCATCTAATGGATGGGCTGCCCGGAAAATAATGTTTCTGGTTTAGCGATTATTCTACAAATAGTTCGCCATCTTTCCGTCCCCCCACCCCCCAAAAAATAGGGGAGGGAGCAGCTTTAAAATCAATCTGCCCCTTGAAATGGCTGCAATCTCTCTGTAATAATTCGATAGTGCCTAAACTTTATAAAAAGTCCGTTTTTAATCCCCCATTTTTTAGAAATATGCAGCCAGGGATCTAACAAAAGACAATGCTGTTATCTTTACGCAGATTTGAAATATTTTGCTCTGAGCATGTTAATTATACTGATTTTTTTCCCTTTTACAAGGGGAAAAAAAACCTGAAAGGACAGCTAGTAATTAATCTCACTTTAGTCCCAAAGGTGGGTGGGTGGGTGGGTGGGAAATGAAGCCCCTGCTAATTGAGATTATTATTTTTCTCTTCCCAACAAGGTACACATTAGAAAGCCAGCAAACCATTTTAATAATAAGAAACGTAAAACAATTAAAAAGCAGCTTTGTTGCTTAACTTTTAGCAACTAAACATTTATCCATCACTCAGAATACGTAGGGCTGTGTACATGTTCAAATCTCCTATTTTTTCAAAAGCTTAAGACATTGCAAGATGTAGCAAATGTGTTAACTTTTTAAGCATTTAACATCTACAATGTATTTCCTTTTTAAAAAGGACTTTCAGAGAATTTCCTTAAAATCCCCCAAATGTCTGTTTTTTTCAGTCACAGTGCATGTTCGGATCCGTGAACGTTATCTTGCGTAAGATTAGCCTTTTAATCGTTAAAATGCCGTAACCTCTTCTATAAAATTATTTTTAAAAAAATCAAAGCAAATTATATTTCAATGCGGATAAATTGCTCACCGTTTTTTGGAGGGTGAAGGATCCTTCTCGTGGGGTTTTTTCTTCAGCGTGCGGCTTCTGGAAGTGGCTGGACTTCATCTGAAGAGGCAGCAGAAGGATGCTCCCTATATATAACACGCCAGACGAGCGGAGAACCAACAAGAGGTGTGGTCAGAGAGAAATTCTGCAACGGGATACAGAGACTTTCTTTGTTCTTCACTGCACGGGGGGGGGAAAAAAATATCCCGAGGCTTTTTAGAAATGAAAATAGAATGGAAATAATGAGGAAAGGGGTGTTTTTTTTTTAAAAGGATACTTCCAGTACTTCCCCTGACGAAATACACTTGAGTGCAAAAACACACAGTGTCGTAAGTTTATCATCCTTTAAGATATTACTGGATTTTTCTCCTTTTCCAAACTAGGTTTTTTCTGTCTAGCCACTGGGTAGTATAAATCTAAGGATCCGTTGTTGAGAACGTGAGAGTAACTTTCTCCCCACTGTTGCAATGATAACGTTTACGGTGAAAGGGAGGAAGATTTACATGCTGAGCGGAAATCTTACCGAAAACACGTACACCCTGCTTGTTAAAAGATGTGTGGGATTGTTCAACACAAAAACAAATTATGACGAGAGTTAAATATACACAGAGAGCGTGTTCTGAACCCCCTCGTCCCACACCAACACACGCCGAGCCAAAGATAAGTTACGGCATTTAATTAACAGACAAGACAGGTCCTTGGCAGCAAACCGGCACAGACAAGCTTGGGCAGCAATCCAGCACAGATAAGCCGTGGCAGCAATCTAGCCTGCCAGGCTCACAATAATGTTCTCCAACATTCAATCCTGCATTGACTTCTGCAGAAGGGTATGTGCCCAGGCAGTCTTTTTATAGTCGGAAGAAGAACCTAACTGCCACCAGCTGGGTTCAATTTC